TTTTTTTTTTAACTACACTATGTTCTTCTCTCAAATTCTTTTCGCCTTTCACTACCTTCCTACCACTACTCCTAATACTATATATAGAGGGGACCCTTGCAAGCATAGGGCCTCTTGCATAAAAGTGCTGGCAGTTATCCCTCGTTTCCAAATGGGATCTCCTGCGGTTCGTGCTGTTGGCTGCTCTGTCTCGCACTTGCCCTTTCTGAGCTGTGCCAAATTGCCAATCTCTCCTCTTGTTGATACTGACCCCCTGTGTTATTGTCACCTTGCCTTCTGCCAGCCAGAAATATAGGAATTTTACTTTCAGCCTGTATGCTTTTGCTTTTTTTGCTTTTTTTGCTTTTTTTTGCTTCCCCCCTTTCCCAACACACACTCACCTGCCCCTTCTATTCTTGGGGGCCAATAGTCCGGTTGCTCATCACCGGCAAATACAAGACAGAAAATTTGAAAACAGGTCTTTATGGGTCCAGCTCGATGTCCATTCTCGGGACCATCAGTCCAGTTCCTTTTTTATTTTTTAATTTTGTTATTATTTTTTTAAAACAGAACCTCTTGGTTCTGGCTCCTACCATTCTGGGGAGCAACAGTCCAATTCCTATTCCCCCAGGAAGTCAGAAATCGCTTTCAGCCGTTGCCCTGTATCAGGGTGCCCTTGAATTGATACTTTGAACGTCCACCATTTGCACAAGATTTTTTTTAGGGAAAAGTTTTGATATGCCCCTGAAAGTTCGATTTATTTGCGGCGTGCCCCTCTGCCGGCTGACTTACCCTGTCGTGTTCCTCTGACAACGATTGAAGTTTCCGGAAAACCCCTGGTGCCGTTTAGGCCTCATATATGTTCAATCTGCCCATACTGGTACCGATTCCAAATTTCCAGTATGCCACTACCGGATAGCCATCGAGTACCAGCAGAAAAAAAAATCCATATGCCCCTACCGGTACCGTGCACCTTTTCAGAATGCCCCTGTGGCTGGTGGCGGCACTCGCGGCCATTCCCCTGGCCCTGTGAGGGGAGCTACCGGGGCATATTAGAAATTTGTTGACGGTCCCATCTTTCTGCCGTGCCCTCGATTGTTTTCCATGGATTTGGGCCTCCGTGGCTGGGCATTTGACGCCTGTGCCGCTGTCTGTCATGCCTATCATGGTTCTGCTCTCTCTCTCTCTCTCTCTCTCTCTTATTATGTTATTTTGCCTCATCCTGATGCGAGCTTGTTGATGATAATAAATCTAACTGCTTCAAACTGATGAGCCATGGCGAAGAGGGATGTGCAATGCATAATCCCATGCTGCGAGAAGTAATTGAGTTACACACACACACACACACACACACACACACACACACACACAGACACAGAGAGAGAGAGAGAGAGAGAGAGAGAGAGAGAGAGAGAGAGAGAGAGAGAGAGAGAGAGAGAGAGAGAGAGAGAGAGAGAGAGAGAGAGAGAGAGAGAGAGAGAGAGAGAGAGAGAGAGAGAGAAGAAGTACGACGTCAAGCACACACGAAAGGAGGAGGACAGGCAGAGGGGCATGGAAGAGGGAGAGCAACTCTGACCTTCATGAAGCAAACGAAGGAAAGGGTGTTTTCAGAATATTAATAACTTCAGGATGAATATTATGAAAAACAAGCAAATTTCTCTCATGACGTTGCGGTTTCAATAGAGTAGTGGGTATATTGAAATTACGGTTTCATTGAGTAGTGGACAAGGGAAGTGATACTTTCATGACATTCAGAATAACACGAGCAAATTTTTATCATGAAGATCGCTCAGATGCTGAAGTGGCGAATGTTTTGAAAACACTCCTTTGCCCATATGAAGTATATGATGCCCTATCTTAAAGGTTATGAATGTCCTGAAGTGGCGAGTCACCTGAAAGCATCCCTCCCCTTGTCCACCTATCTTCACAACAAAACGTTGGAATGATGTGGGGGGGGTGCTCTCAGACCATTTACCACATCGGGATATTCATGATCTACAGGATAAACAACATAGAGTAGTGGAAAAGGGAGCAAGTGCTTTCAAGACATTCACTACTTCACAATGTTTATGCTCTTCGAGATAGAACAACCAACATTTTATCCCGAAGATTATAAAGATCTTGAAGTGGTGAATATCATGAAAGTATCCCCCGTTTTGCTCATCTCGAATCTATAATGTTTTATCCTGAAGATCATGAACATTCTGAAGTGGTGAATGATCCAAAAGCATTTTGCCCTTACCCATCAGTCTTTGAAATAAAATGTAGGAATGACAGGGATGAGGGTGATTGGGGGTCTTTCAACACTGTAAAAGTTTCATGATGTTAACTATAAAACAATATAGAATAATGTGAAAGGCAATGGGTGTTTTCATGATATTCATCACTGCAGAATGTTCACGATCTTTGAGATGGAGCAACTAAGGTTTTGTCCTGAAGATCATAAACATCTTGAAGTTTTGAATGTTCTCAAATTTGACTCGAAGCACGCTGCGCACCTTGAGCCTATGATATCCTACCTCGAATGTTGTGACAAAGTGAATGATGTGAAAACATTTCTCTCCTTAACAACGTTTACTTCATGTCACTGTATGTTGAATATCTTGAAGTGGCGAATGGCATGAAAGCCCCACCTACCCCTACTCATCGCTCTATATGGTCTCATTTATTGGATCCCGAAAATCATAAACATTCTGCAGCGGGGAATATTATGAAAGCACCACCGGTTTGCCGACATTCAATCTAAGGTTCTATGCCATCATAAGGTAAGAAACATTGTAAAGTAATGAATGCGCTGAAAGAAACTCCCTCCCTCTATTTGAAGGTTTTATCCTTAAAGATTATGAGCATTCTTAAGTTGTGAATGATATGAAAGCACCCCCCACTTGCCCACCTCGAGTCTATCTCATTTTATTTTGTAGATCATGAAAATCCTGAAATGGTGAATGACTTCAAAGCGCCCCTTTTCAAGCCCACCGCTCTACGTTGTTCTTTCTTGAAGATTATGAACATGTTGAAGTGGTGAATGTCAATGTCTTATCTTGAAGATCATGAATATTTTGAAGTAGTGAATGATCTAAAAGTATCATGCCCTTACCCACCTATCTTCAAAATGTAATGTTGGAATGATCGGGATGGGCGTGAATGGGGGGCGTTCAACACTTCAAGAGTGTTAACGATTCAAGGACATAGAGTATTATGAAATAAAATAAGTGTTTTTAATATATTCATCACTTCAAGATGTTTACGATTTTCGAGATGAGAAACCAAGTTTTTGTCCTGAAGATCATGAACATCATGTAGTCGTGAATGTTTTTAAAGCACCAACTGCTTTGCCCACCTTAAGTCTATGATATCTTATCTTGAATATTATGGCGTGGTGAATGATCTGAAACATCCTTCTCCTCGCCCACATCAAGTTCATGTCACTCTATGTGAAAGATCATGAATATCATGAATGAGTGAATGACATGAAAGCGCACCCCTCCCCCTACCCATTGGTGTATATGGTCTCTCTTGGTGTACCTTGAAGCTCATAAACATCTCGAAGTGGTGAATGTTATGAAAGCACCCCCGACTTGCCAACATTCAGTCTAAGGTTCTATATGTTTCTATTATAAAGATCATGAACACCGTGAAGTGATCAATGTACGGAAAGCAACACCCCCCGCCCAACTATTTGAAGGTTTCATCCTTAAAATTACAAGCATCCTGAAATTGCGAATGACATGAAAGCCTCCCCCGTCTTTCTGACCTCAAGTCTATGCCATTCTATTTCATAGATTATGAAAATAATGAAGTGGTGAATGACTTCGAAACCTTTCTCCTTAAGCTCACCGCTCTACATTGTTTTTTCTTGAAGATCATAAACATGTTGAAATGGTGAATTGTTTAACCCTCTCCCCTTTCCCCCCCTTGCCTACCATCATTAATATTGTGAAGTGGTAAATACCTTAAACGTATCCCTCCCCTTCTCCTCACCCACCCCATATCGCTTTATGTTGAAAATTATGAATATCCTGAAGTGGTGAATGACATGAAAGTGTCCGCCCCCTCCTGCCCATCGTTTTATACGGTCCCACTTAATGTATCCGGAAGACCATGAATATCTTGAAGTGGTGAATGGTCTGAAAGCGCCGCCCCGTCCCTATTGTTCAATCCAAGCTTCTTCGTCAATCTATCATATAGATCATGAATATCATGAAGTGATGAATGCCTTGAAAGTACCCCCCCCCCCCCTGGTCATTTGAAGGTTTTATTTTGCAAAATACGAATATCCTCAAGTGGTGAAGGTATGAAAGCGCCTAACCCTTCTCCATCTTGAGTCTATATTGCGATCTTCTAAAAATCATAAAAATCCTTAATTGGTGAAAAACCTTAAAGCACCTCTCCCCCAACTCACCGCTTTAGGTTTTCTTTCTCGAAGAGCATAAATATTTTGAAGTGGTGAATCCCTCTCCCTGCCCTCTACTTTATGTTGTACCACTTATTGTATTCCAAAGACCACTAAACATTAGTGGCGAATGTTATGAAATAACCCCTCTCTTTTTTCCCACGGCCGGTCTAGAGGTCATGAATATCCTGAAATAGTGAATGACATGAAAACAACTCATTCTCCTTGCCTATCGCTGTATACGGTTTCGCTTATTGTATATCGAAGATTGTGAATATCATGAAGTGGTGAATGGTCGGAAAGCACACCCCCATCTCACAAACCTTTCATCTAAGGTTTTACCCTGTTTTATCATGAAGATCATGAACATTGTAAAATAGTCATGAAAAATATATCTGCAGTTAACGTTTTCTCTTAAATTCTTAATGCGGTTTTATAGCTCTTTGACAAAAGCTGCTGGAATAAATTGTTGATTTCGCCATTGTGAAATCGCACCATAACCTATGCTCTTAATTACCCTTTAACGGCCCCGAAACCATAAACACTAGATCTTAAACCTTGAACCATAAGTTATTGGTACCAATTAATTATAAGAGTGAAAACAATAAGAAACAAGAAGAAAAAAATAAATCTGATGTAGTTTGGAGACTGCCGTATGCTATATAGAAAAAAATACTACTTTTTTTTTTTTTTTTTTTTTAAACGCACCCGTCAGTGCTAGCGGTGCTGTTGTTTTGGTTCCTAAAATTTAGTGATTAGTACCGAAGGAAGGTGAAATTTATATGATGCCAGAAAATGCTCAGGGGTGTTAAGACCTTATCATGCCTATCAGGGGTATCAATCACCAACTATCTTGCGAGATAACTATTGATTTCTGCTTGTGAAATTGCATTGCAACCATACATGCAACTCACTTGTGCGATGCGTCGTGCGGTGTGGGAGCGCATTGCTCGCTGTGCGGATTGCTGATGTGAAAAAAAAAAAAAAAACACAAAGGGATGCGTAACGATGACTAGCCATACGTGAATCGTAACTCACCAAATGTGAAAAATGGGAATGAACCTTTTGGTAGAACATGGAAAGATACATCGCTATACTTTTATGAATTTGTTCATGTGGTGAGTAGTGGAGCGAGGCCCTTTGTCAACAGTATCGTCGGAAATCTCGACGCTCTCACTATAGACCTCACTCAACCACTCACCACACACACAGAAGACGAAAGTCATGGCGGTGAATCTTTCCGTGTCCTGGGGGAAGATCCATTCTCATTTTGCTGCCCTATGATTGTATGGGGACGATCATCAATTTTAACAAAAAACGAAAATGGAAAAACACACTTGCAGGACCGCTGCTTGTACACCCTAAATTAAGGAAAAAAACGAAAAGACAACGGGACTGTCAGAAATACCCGTTGTAGGGCCACTGCACAATGATGAGACATACTTATGGCAGCCTAAGGGCCTCACTCCACTACTCTCCAAATGCACAAAAGACAAAAAAAATGGCGGTGTATCTTTCCATGTTCTAGCAGAGTATTCGTTCTCATTTTTCACAATTGGAGAGTAGTTGAGCGAGACCTTAACACTTCAACTCTTTTTCTTTTCCACTTGGATTCGTGTGCTTTTGTCAGACGTGATTAAAACTATGGTAAGATAGTGTAAGATGCCCAAAATCTTTTTTCTTTTGTGGAATAGCCTATGTTACCATTTGTTCGATGACAGGACGTCCTGGCTGGACGTTTCGACGGACAGTCAGGGGGGTCCCTGACGTTCGGGCCCGGATAACTCCATTATAGCAATTAAAAGCACGTAAAAAAGAAAACAAATTTGGGGATGTCTTTAATTTTTTTTTTTTTTTTTTTAATTTGAGAACGCATTTCGATATCATCCCAAGGCAAATGTTGTTCAATTTATTTTTCTGCATAACATAGTTTTTTTTTTTCAGATTTTTTTTTAGGACTTGTTTTTTTTTTTGTGTTCGGGCTCGGACAGACTACTCGGGGAGGACGTCTGACCGGTTGTCCAGTCTGAATAACATTCATACGAGCGGAGGGTCAGAGTGTGCTACCACACCCCGCCTTTCCCCTTGTTTTTCCACGCCCGCTAATTTTCGCCATGTGCCATATCACGTGCGCGCAAGTATGGCTGCAACCCGCTGATTTGTAATTGTAAGACCCCATGAATGAATACTGTATTTTTAGACTTGGTCTACATCGTTTTAGTTTTGCGAAGTTTTCCGACACTGATTGTTCTTGTTCTAATGGGATGTCCTTTCCTCGGAATGAGGATGGTCACATTTTCTTCAGATTTTATGATCTTCAAGGTCTTTCTGCTTCTCTCCTTAACTCCAACAATATTTGTATCCCTCCACGTGATGTCTCCATTGGTCATATTCATGGTGCGATTGACGCCAGCCTGGTGAAATTGACTATTGATGTACCCTTTCGTCTACCTACTAAAATCATACCTGAATGTTTCCATCCACCTGCTTATCTCTCCTTTCTCCGATTATCGTGCATTGATGAGAATTGGCTTCATACTTTGGAAAATCTGGTTAAAATGTCAATCGATAATAACCTAGGTGACACTTACGTCTGCTGTCCAGTTGTGTACACTAACGCGATAAAGAGCTTATTTATTGATAACTCTGGGTTTGTGATTGATAATCGGACCGAGTCAGTCATTTTGTCGACATGTGAGGCAAGATTTATCGAGCATTACTTTGACAAGATTGCTGGTTGGAATAACAAAGGACGCTTTGGTTGTTCCTATGTTATTCTGAAGCACAAAGACACCACGAGGTGGAGACCGATCCCGCCCTCGTATTTAGAGTCTAATGTCCGTATAAGTCGCATTGTGGGACGTGTAATCAACACTTTGCTATGGGTTCTCCCTTCTTGCCTGCATTTCAACCTCAAATCCACTTCTATGCTCAAGGATAGGGTGTCTGCCATCAATGAAGCTGCAAGAAGAAACTTGGATGGTTTCTTGTTGTCTACTACTTTAAATTTGATATTAAGGAGATGTTCACCAAGCTGCCGCATTCTTCCATTATCCAAGCAGTCACATGGATTTCCCAGTTCTTCCGGGAGAAAGGTGTTAATGGTGTGTTTGTAAGCAAGTCAGGCAGGGAGTCCTCCCTGACCAAGAAGTCTCCTGGTAAGGGTTGGGTGAAGGTTAATTTTCTTCAGATGCTGGATGTTGTGATCTTCGATTTAGAAAATACTTATGCCAAAGCTGGGTCGATCATGCTGAGACAAACGGTTGGTGTCCCTATGGGCAAAAGCTCTAGCCCAGCGTTGGCCTGCCTTCTCTGTACGCACAATGAGTTTACTTTCATCAAATCTTTGGGCACCGACAACAAGTTCGTCTC